GTAGAGCTCATGTAGGTACCAACACACGTCGCGCTCGGATGTTCCGAAGAAAGTGGGAGGGCCAGCGGTAACTAACTAACGATCATCATGAGACTCTCTGCGTTCGCGTTAGACGCGGTTCGCGTTAGAATCGCGATTGCGATTACGTCGGGTACGCCGCCGCAACGGCGCGTCGAGTGGCGATCGTATGCGTTGGTTTTTGCATTTCATCGTTTTTACCCCTTTCTCGTTTACATAACGATCGTAGGCGCGCGAGTCACGTTGCAATTCATTGTTTCGCGATTTCGATTTAATCGCCCCCACATAATCAGGTCGTCGCGTGCGCTCGTGTACGCGTGGACGAAAAAAAAGGGGGGGGGGGGGAAAAGGAAAAACGGACGCCGCGCGCAAAATAAAGCGATTTGTCTTGTTATATTTTCGCGGTGGAAGCGCACGTACGTCGGCTCCCGCGATATTTTCGCGATCCAACTTGGCAGATACACTCGCAGATATTACCCGAGTTACGAATATTTCCGTTGCCGCACGGTGAATGTAGCTGCACACAATGCGACCGTCCTGCTTTTCTGACAGAACGGTATCTGATTGCGGCGACGTTTCGGTACTTTGAAGGGGGGTACCTTTCTCGATTACGACCGCATGAAAAAACTCATTAATGAGCGGCACGCATTCGTCACAAAGAACGGAAATAACGGGAGCGACGGGATGAGAAATAATGGAGGACAACGATACGCAGTTACGTCGAACGAGAGTACTTGGCGTGATAGATATCCGAAATTTCGTTATACGTTCCGCCTTAATCGTATCGCGGCTACCATTTCGCGAGTACGAGATCACTCCGCGGCGGTGTGCGTTTACGGGGCGTTTATAGGTAACAGCTATAAAATACCTTCGATCAAAGAGATTGCAAATTAATCTGTATTTATATATGCTATTTGCGCCACGTAAATTTATCCGATGTAAAATGTAAATACGTTTGCTATTAAAATTTACGACGAGCTCCGCTCCGTTTAAATGTCCGCGGTCCGGCGCGATCTCGATCTCTTTGCGTTCGGCGCGCGGGTCGCCGCGCGATAAAAGGAGCCCGGGGGCCGGAGTTGCGCGGCCACTTTGGCGTGTCGAATGAAAATACGGGCCTAAATGTTTAACGTGCCGTTTGCCGATGGAGCGATAGCGTGACGCAATAAAGCGCTAAGAAAACTTGATCCCGTCCGACTTAGCGCGGTAGCGGCTGCATCCAGCGCATACAAATTCCCACATAACCGGCCGCATCCGACGCTACCCCTCGATCCCTCTCGTCTCCTCCTCTGTCCCCGTACGCGTACCCCGAAGACGGCGAGTCGTTCTTTTATATGCCCGTCGCCTATCCTCCCCGCCGCTTGTTCAACCCCTTCACGTCCCCCCCCCCCTTCCCTCCCGTCCGCCTAGGAGGACCTATCCTCTACCGCGACAGGATATCGCCAAGTAACTTCCCGCTCGTTCGTGCGGAGTCTCAATCCAATAACCATTTAAGAGCCTTACACTCGTACCTTACACGCCGGGGGAGCTGCTCTTACGCGCCGCCCTGCCGTCGCTACCCTCCGGTCACCCCGTTCGCCGCTTCCCCTGGCATGCCCGCGGATGGCAATGCCGTTAGATAGCGCGCATGTAAACGTACGTAAGTGCGTCACCGAACGAGCGGCAGCAACGCTCGGTGAGATTAAAAGGCATTTGTTTCGATATCGAAGATGCACCGAGATTAACCCCCGTGAAATAGCCCGCGTCGCCTCTGTGCCTCCCTTTATTTTATTTTATTTTATTTTTTTCCGATAAAGTTGTGCTTACAACGCGTCGCGATGTACGTGGGGCTCTCGGGTGCTCACGAAATTAATTTTTTCTCCAGATCGATCGATCGCTGTGTATTAAATACCGTTACAAAAAATATGAAGTACGAAAAGAATACCGTTACGTCTTAAGTATATAAATGAAAAAAAGGGAAGGTATACAGACGTATAAGAATTAAGGGATAATTGAATGGAAATTACAGAGGGACTATTAGATTGTCGTATAGCAAGTGCACGTAGTATGTCTTCATTTGGAAATAATTTGAGGATGAGAGGATTTAGCATGCAACCTTGCAGAAATTTTATTCGAGGATTGCGTAGGGATTTGCCCTGCTACTTATGTAAAATTATGTAGGAAAAGAATTTAATCTTGCGCTTATATCCCGCGCTTCACTCCTTGTTCTCCTTGATTACTTACCTACGCTTTGTCTAATGCATTAAACGTTAGTGACGCTAATGAGCACATCTCGTCGGGATATTTCAACGTTTCCGCGGTAAATGTTATTGACGCCAACATCGCCATTTCGACATGTGAAATCCCCTTTTCAATTAATAACCGCCGAGTCAATATTTACGATCCATCGTCCGTGCAATTAATTAAATACTTCCTATCGACCATCGGGCAATTATGTTACGATTAAATTTTTTTTTCCCGGCGCTATAATCTCAGTAAACTTCCGTCGAAAAATATCCGTCTATAATTTAAAACGGAAACTGGCCATATTTAGTAAATTATTTTACGAATTCCTAACGTCGCTAATATCAAGTCCACGAATTCCCTTCCGCAGGACATATTTCCACGGAGGATATTTTTACGAAGTAGTTTGTCGCAAGCTTCCCTCGTTATTCACGTGGAAAGAGCGATAACCAGTGCGTACCGAGGCAATGAGTTATCGATCACAATCTATATGATAATAAAGAGTCGGCGAAAGCCGTTTCGGTGCCCCCTTCTCTTTGTTTGTCCCCCGTTTTCCCCATGTATGACAAGTTACGCCCGTCTACGGAATCGAAAAAAATGAGGGAAGGGCTCTCGCCTGTTATACAGATTGCTCCTTTCTCTTGCCGCGTCCAAAGTTTGATATCCTTTCTCCGTTTTTGCTCTCCTTGCTCCGGTCCGTAACGCGTGACGATGTCTTTTGATTTCACGAGCAAATCCTGCATCCAATTTCGGCGGGTCGACGAACGGGCCCGTCCTTTTCCTGTCCGAGAACGATTGGGGATTTCTGCCAGAAGTCAAACAAATCTTGTCCATCGCTAACCGTGAAACGAATTTCTAGCCCTTCTAAGGAGATCAATCTGTAGTTCTCGACGTCTGCACTCGATCAATTCGATGGTTGCTCCGTTTCGCGTCGACAGCAGCTGATGGAAATTAATTGAGGGACAGGAATACCGTAGGTAAACGCGCAGGATATGGCGCTCAACCGGTTTTGATTTTTCGTAAGAACTCGTGTAAACAGAATTATAGCAAACTATATATAAAAATCTTATAAGTTATTTTAAATTATTTCCGAAAAGAAATGTAGGTAAATATATCGATGAAGGGAGCCAGCCCCGAT